GTGAATGCCTAGTATAACCTAAAACTGCATAAAGCATCATTGTATTGTTTATGGGATGGTGACAAGGAAAAGAAAGCCTGTGGCACAGTTGACACAGATAAAATTTATTTTTTCAAAGCCTTTTGTTTTAGGGCTAGGACTGAATCTAGAGTCTTTGACATGCTAGAAAAAGTACTGTACTACTGAGCTACATCCACACTCCTGCAAGAATTCTGGTCTGCAGCTGCTTATATCAAAGAATTCAGAACGAGCAAATACAGAGAATTGCTTATATTTATGGCTATGTGAACATACACAGTTAGTACACATACATGCATTTATGTATGCCTTACTGCTTTCAATTTGTTTCCAAGTACATGTGCTAGGTCACCCTTGAAGAATGAACTATGCTTAGCCCCTCAACATTCCTTCCAATCTAGAAATACACAGAAGCAATAGAAACAAAAGTTGATTCATATCGAATAATTATAAACCTGGCTGGTTTATCTCCAGGCAAATATGTAAAGGCTTCCTCTTTCTGAGGAAGGTCAGGGAACTTGGGGTCTTTCTATCGTCACCCCACCGTCAGGGTGGCAAGTGTCCACACAGCCCAGCCCAGCAACTTACAGAAGTGTAAGCCAGAACAGATTTCTGCGCTCAGCCCATCGAAGTCTTCCTATTCCCACTCCCATGGGCTCCTGCACTTGAACACTGGGTCCCTAGTAGGTGGTCTCCAGCTGTCAAGGGAGGTTATGGAACTTTGGGGACTACGCCATGAAAGCCCTGGGGTGAGCTCTGAAAGTTTATAATCTCACCACACTTCCGGTTTATGCTCTGCTCCCTGTGTGCAGCTGAGATGTGACCTCAGCTTTCTGCTCTGGCCACCTGCTGCCATTTTGGATTTTCTCTCTGGAACCACAAACCAGAATAAACTCTTTCTTAGGTAAGTTGCTTTTGGTCATGGTATTTTGTCTCAGCAATAGGAAGGTGACCAGGACATGGTCCCACTCAAGGCTCTGTGGCCAGGGGTAGGTGGCAGTGGTATCTATATTCCTGGGTAATATCTGGGGAGGCAGTCATGTAAAATTACTTAAGTGCAGCCTCTAGTACACAGGCCAATCAAGTACCTCTGCAATCACAGGAAGCAATAGTTTGATCTATCTTTTTTGAAACTCATAGTCAATTAAAAAGCCCATGGTGGGAGCTGAAGAGATGGCCAGGCATGTAAGAAAACATTGGACTGTTGCATAGGACCTGAATTGGGTTCCCAGTAAACACACACACTCCGTGACTCACAATGGCCTAGAGCTTCAGCCACGCGAATATGACACCCTCTTCTAGCTTTTGCAGACAACTGCACTCATGTGCATACAAACAGGCATATAAATAGTTCTCATGAGTTAACCTTAAAGGGATCCACAAGGAAGCTGCATTTGAAAACCCTCCCTATATGACCCACACTCCTGCCATCTGGAATTTACTCATAGACCTACTACCTGTTCTTAGCAGCTTTATTCAGAACTGTCCAAACCTGAAATCAACCAAGAAGCCTTTCAGAGGGTAAATGCATAAACTGAAAGATCTAAATGATGGGGTATTATTCTGCACTAAAAGGAAATGAACTACCAGCCACAAAAAGATGTGGAAAAACCTCAAATGTGTATCACTAAGCTGTCACAATCAGGAAGGGTCAAGCTGTCTTATTCTAACTATAGGACATTCTAGAAAATCCACAACTATTACAAGAGTAAAAGGAACAGAAGATCTTTGAGACAGAGAAAAGACTTTATATTATACTACAATGGTGATTCCTCACTTTTGCATGTCTAACTCCACAGCATACATAACACCCAGAGTGAGCTCTCGCCAGCTAGGGGCTGTAGGTGGAAGCCACACAGCAGGGTAGGTCTGTCAGTTGAGCCACCATTTCTGTCTGAAAGTTTTTGATTAAGCAGGGAGCACCATTTTGATAATAAAATGATCAAATTTATAAATAAAGATCAATATGAATGAATAAGCCGATATATCTATTTCAGTGGTTCTCAACTCTCCTAAAACTGACCCTCTAATGTAGTTCCTCATGTTGTATTGACTCACAACCATAAAGGACTTTTGTTGCTACTTCATGACTGTAATTGTGCTATGGAGCAGTGTCTCAGATCCTAAGACCGTTAGAAGCACATGCATTCCAATGGTGGTAACCCACAGGTTGAGAGCTGCAATGCTATCTATTTTGAGGATACATTCAAATTCTCAATTCGGAAAGAAATGCCAATACAGAGATACCCAAAGACACCCAGGGCTTCCAAACAGCACCGGTGGGAGAGAGGGAAGGCTTACAAGGTCATGCCTCTGAGGCATGGGGTCACAGCTGCACTCTGAGCCCTCCCTGGCTCCGGGAGTCACTGCTGCTTACTGGAACTAGGGGGTATGTTTTGCGTGTCTTTGTGTTAAATAAGACCAGACACAAGGGGATTTCCTTAAACAAGGCGAGGCTGAGAAAGGACCTTGGAAAGGAGCTTGTGTTTGCAGGCTGCTGGTGACTCACATTTTCCCTGACATTCCATGGCCTCATCAAGCCCTGCCAATTGCACCCTGGGTACCAGGTGTACCCCAGAGGAAATTCCCAAGTTGGCCACCTGGAGGCAGTCAAGGTCAGCATTAACATTGCTGGCCCAATTCCCTCATTCTCTGAGGCCACAAGTAGCCTCCCTCCCTTTTGACAAGTCTCTCATCCCCTGTCCTCTCCTCTTCCCGTGTCCGTTTGTTTCTCTCTGAAAGCTGTCCCTTATTGAGATGACCAAATTGAGCCTCTTGCATATATCTTTAACTTGCTGGAACTAGGCACTTCACAGCAAGACTGGCTTTAGACTCAGGCTGGGCATTTCACACAAGCATAGGTAACCAGAAATGTCCCTTCAGTAATTCTTTGGGCAAGACTGTAACCTCTCCTCTCTCTCCAGGAGGCTGGGCTCCCATGCTGGGCAGGTATCCACCTGCAAGGCCAGCTGCTGTGGCAGCCAGAGGAAATTCCTCTCCTGAAGACAAAGGGTCCATTATGCAGCAGGCTCAGGTTCCCAGGCATGGGGGAAGACACACAGGAGCTTCTTATCATTACTTTATTTGGCAAAGCAGGGCAATCTTCACAGGGACCTGACCCCCCCCCCCACACACACACCCTATTTCCTGCAAAGCACAAAGGAGAAATTCCACTCCTACCCTGACTCCTGCCTCAAGGATGACTGGGGCACAAGGCTCTTTAATCCAGGTGGAGGAAACTCCAGCCTGTTGGCAATAGGAAGGCCTGTCATCTAACTGCCAGGTCATAAAAATACTCTCTCTCTCTCTCTCTCTCTCCCTGTGGCCTTTTCTTATCTGCAAAACAAGCACCCTGAATTATTACCTTAACAGCAACTACATAAAATTCACAACAGAAGCTGTGTGGTAGTGGTGCACCCCTTTGATCCCAGCACTCAGGAGGTAGAGGCAGGTTGATCTCTATGAGTTCAAGGCCAGCCTGGTCTACAGAGAGAGTTCTAAGATAAACAAGGTGACACAAAGAAACCCTCTTTCAAACACACACACACAAAACACAGGAAAAGAAAGGGATTTTTGTTGTTGTTCTGTTTCTGAAACAGTGTCTTGCTATGCAGTCCAAGCTGGTTTCAAATTCACTGTGTAACCCATTCTCCCCTCAGACTCAATCCTCCTGCCTGTGTTCAGGATCACACCCAGCATGACATAATGTTAAAAATGCTGCTGAGTGCTTGCTGTCATTGCAGCAGCGCATACACTAAGACTGACCAGCACAGACACCAACGGGGCCTCTCAGCAGCCTGGAGTACAGAGCCACCAACAGTCCGTACTTCACAATCATAATTATGTCTTATGAACAACAGCAAAAGAAGGACTCAAAGGCATCAAACTCAAAATGGCAATAGGAGACAACAGAACTATTAATCACCGTGATGCAATCAGGACCCACTGTATACATGTAACAAAACATCACAATGCACCCCCAAAGTAACAGAATTACTAGATCTTAATTTCAGATTTAAGTACAGGGGAAATGATAAAATTGGAGGTGTCCTTACTTGATCATAATGCACCATTTACACAATTAGCATACCCCATACTGCGCTTTGTATATGAGCACAACTGAAATTAACAATGAAAGCTACAGAGATGCTAGCTCAGCAAGCAGTAAAAAGTATCTGCCAGGCAACCATGATGGCCTGAGTTCAGTTCTTAGAACCCACATAAGATGTCATGTGGTGGCACATATCTATAATCCAGCACTCCTATGGGTATCTGAGCACTCGCCCAGAGTACTAGGGCCTGGAGCCTGGAGCTCAACCCAGCAGAAGCAAGAAGACTCTGCCTCTAAAGCAAGGTAGAAGGAGAATGGACTGAGGAAAGTAATTTTCTGACCTCCTGCATTCCACAGCACATGAGTACCAGCACTCACATATATATCCCTCAAACACACACACACACAACAATAACAAATAACAATAAAAATGATTGGGTCAAAGTAAAAGAATATTAATAGTATTGATAGCATAAGCATTAATGTGTCTTTTAGGGTCGCTAGGGTAAGGTCTGAAACACACAAATAACACAAGCATTGTTTTATTTGCGCTGGGGTTTGCTTGAACAAATCCCATAGAAGTGAAACAATAGACAAAGGAAATGCAGGCATCCTTTCTGTATTGAGGTGAACAGCTTTGCTCTTCTGTAATTACTGCCTTCCCACAGGTTTCAGAGCAAAGCAAGAGAGCCAGCCAAAACAAAGTCTTCAAAACAGGGAACCAAAATAAGCCTTTCCTCCTTATGCCTCAGGTAGTTGTCAGTGAGGAAAGTTAGCACAACATTAAGCCAGAGGAAGGAATATTCTGGGGTGAGCATTTTTAAAGAGTAAGAGCAAACTGATGTCAGAGTCCAAAGGCAACTGCTCAGGAGCATAAAAACAGGCACAAGCAGTAAGAAAGGGACACATGGAACTGACTTTTGACACTTACCCAGGGATCTTTCCTTTGTTTGGTTGGTCGACCTCACCACAGGAAGGCTTGCTCTCGTCCGACTTCCTCTGGAGAAAGGACTTGGTACATCGCTCTCAGACATGGCTTCCAAAGAGTCACCAGATGTCTCTGATAAATGTTCAACCGGATCCCCCAAATTGGGAGGTTGAGGACTGTGGGACAGCTTGGGGCTTTTTGTCTGCAAAAGACATTTTAAAGAAAGCATTATTACTTAAATAAGGCATTATTTATCATGTCATTTATTATCAATATTAATTTATTATTGCCATGCTGTTTCTAATGCCAGCTGAAGAATGACTTTGGGAGTCAATAGTGTAAATTCTTTAGAAAAATATCCTCAATGTTCCCATTACCAGTTGTGGTCACTGGACACACACCCCTTGAATGCCACAGACTGGGGACAAGCCTGCATTATAGGAAAGAATGATGGAGAATCGTTACCTTTGTCAAACAGATTCTCACAGTTAAAGCATAACAGGTGGAACTGTGCACACTTTATGTGCCCAATGTAGATATTGGGCTCACACCAGGGTAAACTGGACACAACCAGTTCTTCACAGTTTTCTATAAAGAAATGATGCCAGCGGCTGCAGAGATGGCTCAAGGGTTACTATCCACTGGATGCTTTTCCCCAGGTTCAATTCTTAGGACCCATGCAGCAGCACACAGCAGCCTGTAACTCCAGTTCCGGCAGATGCCCTCTTTTGGACTCTCCAGGCCTCAGGCATGTGAAACGTGCATGCAGAGACATTCATGCAAGCACACACTCATACACATAAATTAATCTTTCCCAAATATGGTTGCTTAATCTTAGCACGTGGAAGGCAAGATCTCTGAGTTCAAGTCCAGCCTAGTCTACAGGGTGCATTTCAGGACAGCCAGGGCTACACAGAGAAACTCGGTCTCAAAAGACAAACCAAGAAAACAAGCAAATCGAAACAATGAATAAAACAGACGAAATGTGTTTAAAATTCAGTAAGCTGCAGAGCGATGGAGATGTCAACATCACCATTGCTCCTGTTCTGAGGGGAGGGCGCTGTCTAGTTTCCTCATCTAATCCACACACAGGTGAGAACCCCACCCCCACACTGCCTAATTTAAGTTCCCTCTGAACTGCCTGTTTAGACTGCTATTGTAGGGAGTAAGTGCATTAAATGTCCATTGTCCAGTAATCTATAATACTCCCTGAACAAAAACAATTCGGGTGAGTGCTCTCCAGAAATCTGAAGGATAATCAGCACTGGGAGATGTCAAACAGCTCCTGAATTCATTGGTGAAGGGTGTGGAGAGCAGTAAATAACCCAAGAGAATTATGATAAAAATATCAATACAAATTACATGGTATTTTAATTCACATTTCAATAACTGCCCATCGGACTATGCTCTAGGCACCCTGCCGGGACTAAGGATAGAATGATGCAGAAAAGAGGCATGACTTTCCTCCTTGTGCTACTTAAGATCCATAAGCAGATGGTCATTAAGGAGAAGGGAAAGGCTTCTTGTGGTGGCACACGCCTATAATTCCAGCACTTGGCGGGCAGAGACAGGTGAATCTCTGAGGTAAGCCTGGTCTACAGAATGGGTTCCAGGACATCCAGGGAAACACCGACAAATTCTGAAGAGAATAAACTGAAAATGAAGCTGAAGTGTGTGTGTGTGCGTGGGTGGGTGGGTGGTGTATGGAATAGGAGGACGTGCGCTATCCAAGACTGGTGGTGAAAGCTGGAGGCATGTGGATCTAGAGTCAGAAACATGTATATTTTGATATCCAGGAAGAAAGAAGTTGGAGAGAGGGTCCAAGCCAGAGTATAAGGGATAAAGGGAGGAAGGCATTGCACTTGTATGGACCAGATCTGCAAAGTCCAGGGAACAGAAAGAAGTTGTGGGGCTGGACACCTCCAGGGGTGTAGGGTATGTGGGGGAGGAGCAGAAGGAATCACAGTGAGAATTCTCATCTGACTGAAAGGTAGTGGGGCTGCAGTGACTACTCAACAGGAAAAGCGGTGAATGGGGGGCCAGGCTAAAGATGCTTCTCAGGACCACAGTGCCTGCTAGATAGAAACTGACAGTGAGAATATAGGCTGGAGGGCTGAGGAGAGGAGCTACAGAACTTGGAGAACTGTTAAAAAAATGGACACATGGTCTCATCTTGCCACCTCCCTTGGGCTAATGTTCACCCGTACCACATGACTCCAGACATCTTCTGGGAGGCAAACTGACCAGGCAGGTACCTTTACTCTGACTAAGATGCTAATAGAGCTGATGGGGTGGTGGTGAGTACAGCTGTCCCCAGGAGCCAGGCTTGCTGGCTTGTTCCAGTCCTTGATTTCCTTTGTGCTGACTGAGAATGCCAGTCAGTCCATCAGGCTCTTAACTCAAAGCACCCAGCCTTCCTGGGAGTGTGAGCCATGTGGTCATCAGGAGCTCTGCCGTCTTCACACTCTTCTGGGAATATCTGGATTTTTTTTTTTTTTAAGTCAAGAGACACTGAAAATTATGTTGCCTTTCCTGCTTTAATGATTTAGTTACTGATCCTTGAGTGAAGGCCACAATTGTATGTGATAGCACGAGGGGACTGTTACAATGACAGCATGGTCTCCTATTGTGATATGGGATGACCACACTCACAGGACCCTCCCACAGAGAGAAGCTCAAAGTCAGTTCTTTGCCCCCTGTGGTCTTCAGGGACATGCCTTCAGAGCTACCTCTGAATGAAACTAAATGAAACTCAGCCATTACAAACCAATGAGATTATGAAGCAAATTTCTAGCCAGAAACAAGAAAATTGCCCCTTTAGTTTTGTTTTCATACACAAGTTTCCAAGGCAGATTATTTCCCAATTTACTTTTTATAAAGTTGGCTTCTATTATGGTGAAGTGATACGCTACATGATTGTTTTTCTCTCAGTCTGGGATCAAACCAAGCATATTATTCGACTAGAAAAATAGCCTTAAATCTCATTCACCCACCTCACCAAGACTTGGAGAAATGGCTATTGTCACCAATGACAGTTATGCTAAGCAGGATCTCAAGGGAGATGTGTTCAACCAGAGAGGCAGGGAAGTGAAGAGATTCATTTAGCCTAGAAAACTAGCAAAAGCAAATTCCTTTAAGCCATACGGCTGCATGTTACCTCTGTTGTAACCATCCTAGCAGCCTGTGGCAGGCACCTTGCATATGAGTTGCAGTTTTCCATCGCAATAGGCAATAACCCTTAAAGAAAATAAAACATCAAATTTCTATTTCTTGTTCAGGGTCATCACAGCAGTAAGTAAATTATAAAAAATAGAGATGAAAGGGCTGATATTTTTCTAACTTTCTATATATAAACTATTTGGCTCTAAATGTATACTTCTCTTGATTTTATGTCATCCAGTTTCTTGCTGAAAAGTCTTCCTGCACATTAGCTCTCTCCTCAAACACTGCACCCGCCCCTCAGACGTTAGCTTACCGCTGAGACAGAAAGGACGATGGAGATCATTGGCACCAATATTACATACCCCATGACCTGATATAGTGAAAACCATCTGGGGGCTGGAGGGATGGATGGCTTAGTGGAGCATTGACTGCTCTTCCAGAGGACTGGGTTTAACTCCCAGCACCCAAATGGCAACAGCTGTCTGTGACTATAGTACCAGACAACCTTACACAGACATACATACAGGCAAAACACAAATGCACATAAAATTTTAAAAAATAAAGTAAAATTATATAAAACAAACTAAAAATGCAATCTAGCCTGTACGCAGCACATCAGTTGTATTATAGGGGCCAAGAATTGCAAGTCCAGGAGCTGAGGGTAGGACTTGCCTTGCAAGCACAAAGCTATAGGTTCAATCCCCAATACTGCATGAGTTGGGCCTGGTGACAGCACTCAGCACTTGGGAGGTGGGGGTAGGAGGCTCAATCATCAGCCACACAGAAAAATTGAAGTGTGAGGCCTGTCTCCAAAACAAACAACAAGAAGGAATCATATCTGTAACATACAAACAAGAAGGCTTGCCACTGTGAGCACAGGAGAGAAGAATGCCAGGCTTCACAGACAGGGCTGTTAAGGACAGAGCAGTGGCTGAATGCTTGCCAAGCGCACCGAGGCCCTGGGATTTATCCTCAACACTGCAATGTAAAAAAGTAAAAATTAGAAGTGGGTAGGGAGAAGAGAGCTTGAACGTGGGAGATGCCAGGTCACTGGAAGCGCTGGCCCCTAATTGGACCAATCAGTAGCCACCGAAGCATGACTAAACCAATCAAATTTTTTTTTCTCAGAAACTGCCCAGGATCAGAGAATTTACTGTGTTTTGGAAACAGACAAGGAAAGTAATGCAGAAAGAGCGCGGAGAGAAGGGACACGGTATTACTTGTGGTGGATCTACAGAGGAGAGACACCACGGGTGAGGATGGGGGCGTGGGCGTGGGCTTCAAGGCGCAGGTGGGAGTGGGGATAGAGCTCCTCCCTTAGTTCCAGTTTTGTTCTTTCACTGTTTCCAGAAGATTCTATGCCTCATTAGCAAACGCTCGCTGTCAAACACCAATTCTAGTAGTCCTTCCCTCCTGTCCACGATGTTGCACTACTACTCAGACTCATAGCATGAGTGACAGCCAGAGAGAGCGGTTAACTCTATGGAGAGCAAGCAAACAGCAGTTTCACCAAGTCTGAGGCAATGAAAAACAACAGTCATAAGAGTCCCGCCTTATGACTCAGAGGTAGAATGTATGGCCTGGGTTCAAACTCCAGCGCTCACACCCCTTAGAACCCATGGGATATGGGAAAGAGAGAGAGAGAGAGAGAGAGAGAGAGAGAGAGAGAGAGAGAGAGAGCGCCTGGGGAGATGGCTCTGCTGGGAATGTGCTCACTACACAAACACTTGGACCTGAGTTCAGTCCCTCCGGGCTCACGTAAAAGCTGGCACAGCGGTACACATCTGTCATCTTAGCACTGGGAGGGAGGGAGGAACAGGAGTGTCTGGTGGCTTTATCTCAACAAAAAACAAGGTAGATAACAACTGAAAAACCCCTGCTATTGGCACCTGGCCTCTGCATGTACACCTCCACACATGTACATGTAAACATGGAGGAGGTGTCTTAATGTTTCCTAAAAGGGAGGCTGCCTACTGACAGGATGTCAGATTTTGGCCTCATTTTACCTAAGATGAAGACTTTTCTGGACCCTGCGTGGTC